CCCAAAACCCCAAAACCCCAAAACCCCAAAACCCCAAAACCCCTAGACTTAAAATTTATATTGTAATCTTTGCTTTATAAACTTATTTCGCCACGGATCTGGAAGCTCTTTTACGTCTCTTTTGCTTACGGCATTTCTCTGCTCTATCAACTGCGAGGTAGTCCATCATTTTAGATATTTTCTTGATTTTATCGGTAAAAGCAATCCCTTCTGCTTGTTTTCCACAGAAATTTAGCGTATTAATACGTATTTTCTGAGCAAGTTTTAGGATTTCGTGGTCTCTTTTGGTAGACTTTAGTTTCCGCTGACTGCTCACAGTCATACTTCTTCTTAAGGTATCTCCTTCTGAGTACTCTCTAACTGTTGGCATCGTAGTCTTGAACTTGCTATTTAGTGTCTGAAAGTCAGGCAGGGAGCTTACCAAATGGTTTTGACATGCTTTTACTCATTCTATGAAGGTTAGACTCGCTTTCACGTCATGGCTTAGAGAATGACCTATGAAGTTTATAGTCCAAAACTACCTTTTAGGTCCTTTAGATGCTCCAACAAGAGAAGAAGCCTGATTCGAAGTCAATATTGAAAACTCATGAGTCATTTTCGGTGCTTTAAATGTGTCTGGATGATAGGCTAATATGTTGTAACAAATTTCCTTAATCTGTTTCTTGATTATTTTATCGTTGAGTTTTATATCTCTCACCCTTCAGACCTTGATCTGCTCAAAATTCTCAATTTCCTTTCTCATTGAATCAGCTTGTTCTTGGAGTCGCGAGATCAGGGATTCTGCAGCTTCTAACTGACCTTGTGAGCCAAGTGCCTGGGTTCAGAGAACAGAGTTGTTTAAGACTCTATCTGCTTCCTTTATAGTTATGAGAAAATTCTCAAAAGAAGCATCATCTTCTGTTAGGCCATTTTCGAGATCATGAATAGCTTTCTTCAACATCCTGAGCATTTCTTGTCTGCTTTCCCTACTATCAAGGAGCTTCTTGGTAAAAATATTTTTAGCAGTATCTAGTTCTCTCTGAAGGGCCATCTCTGCCTGATGATACCTGTTAGAAAGTGACTTTGGACTTGGCTGATGTAGATCAGCATTCTGAGGATAACTCTATAAAGCGTTTAAGAACTTTCCCTGTCAATTTTCACAAGATACAAGACAACTTGGCCTATACTAGATTCTCCAGAGCTGGTATGACTCCATTTCAGGTTAGGAAGCCCTTACCATAATTCAAGAGTTTATGATGCCTAAATAATTAAATTATTCAATTTATTTTCTTATCAACGGGGTTTTGGGGTTTTGGGGTTTTGGGGTTTTGGGGTTTTGGGG